ATTAAGGGGCTCAAGCTTCTATGATTAAAAGAAAACCACAGTGACAATAAAGCTGAACATCCTACTTCAAGTGGGTATACTTGGGAAAGTAAGATTCATCCTATGATAAAAAGCCCCTGGGTTTTTGTTTCTAAATTCAAGATTTTAAATAGTTCCTGTGTGTAAGGCCCACCCACACAGCTAAAATCCCAAGGCAGCCCCAAACCTATTACAGATCATGAAAATGTTTTGATCCCTTGTAGACATGGGCCTATCTTATAGGGTGAGGCATGTTTTATACAACTAACTTAATTCCACGCTTCATCAGGTTATAGGAGAAATCTTACAGGAAAGTAGAGGGAAAAGGTGTCACTTCTAAATGGGTGGACAAAGGAAGCCTCTTTTGGTAGGGAATGTTAGAGTTCTGTGTTCAAGAAAGAGTAGCAGTTCCTCACACAGAAAAGGAAATGGAGGGAGCCCCTTTTAGGCAGAAAGATGAAGAAAGACACAGCTCCTGGCAGTCAGTCCACAGGGTAAAAGGGGCGTTCTAGATTCTTGTGTGCGTGTGATCACATGTGAGTGTGTGTGTGTGCAGAGATGACCATGAGAATATTTAAGGCCAGAAAGCTAGGTGCTGACCAGAGTATGAAGGTTTTTGAATTCCATATTGACGAGTTTGGCTTTATTCTGTGGTTAACTGGAACGCAGTAAAGTTTTGTATATGATCAGAGCTATTTATATAAAAATTTTCTGACCATTTGTAACTCCAGAAACAAGAGGTGTCGGTCTCCACTCTGTACACCATTAAAGGCAGTGCCAGGACACTGTCCCTGACCCACAGTACTCTCAGATTCACTTCTCAGAGGGTCCCCAGATGTTATCTCAATGAATGCAGGTGTCTTATAGCATTTTCCTCTATGACACAAAAAAGTCAACCCAAGGATAACTAGAAGGAAAGCCTAAGACTTATTTTATTCACATCTACTTGGGATTTTTTTTTCTCATGGTCTGGATGATTTATTCACCAACTAAATGAGTGCTCTCCATGCTTGCTTTGCTAAATTGTAGACGGTTTCTGCAATGTTCACCTAACTTGAGGATTTACTTTATTAGATAGAAAAACAGGAGGCAGAAAATCACCGGTTACAACAGGAACTACAGGATGCCCGAGACCAGAATGAGCTGCTGGAGTTTCGAAACCTAGAGCTAGAAGTAAGGAAATGATGATAATAATGATAATAAAAATAATTGTAACAATTAACATGCACTGAACACATCCTATGTGTGAGGTGCTAAATTAAGCATTTCAGATGCCTACTCTCATTCACCCTCACAACCATAATCGAGATTTTAGAGATGAGGCCACTGAGCTTGAATAACTTGCCCAATACCTGGGACCATAAGTGATAAAGCTCTGATGCAAGTCAGAATTGTCTGCTCAGGAAAAAAAAAAAAAAAAAAAAAGAATTGTCTGCTCAGATACTGTACTTTTCATCACCATTGCCTTTAAGAACAAGAATGAATAATTTTTAAATAATTTACATAATAGATTTCAAACTTCATCAATATTTCATAGCTTTAAAATAATCATTTCCATCCTTCATTGAATTCTGACTCATAAAAATGTTACCTCAAGAATTATATTTCAGGGGCGCCTGGGTGGCTCAGTTGGTTAAGCGACTGCCTTCGGCTCAGGTCATGATCCCAGGGTCCTGGGATCGAGCCCCGCATCGGGCTCCCTGCTCAGCGGGAAGCCTGCTTCTCCCTCTCCCTCTCCCCTGCTTGTGTTCCCTCTCTCTCTGTCTCTCTCTCTCTCTCTCTGTCAATTAAATAAATAAAATCTTTAAAAAAAAAGAATTATATTTCAAATTGTGCTATATACAAAAATATTTTGTTATACACTTGAATTCGTGAGTAAACTTTTTTAATCTATAGTGCACTTATGCAAACGGCTAAGAAGCAAGGTAACTTGTTTTAGGAAATACCTTGGTTAACCTGACCAAATTTCACTCTTTTTTTTTTTTTTTTTAAGTAAAACATATCAGTCAAATCAGATTTTAATTGTATCACACAGAATCTGGCCTGGGGGGCACCTGGCTGGCTTGGTCATTAGAGCATGTGACTCTTGATCTCAGGGTCATGAGTCCAAGCCCCATGTTGGGTGTAGAGATTACTTAAAAAAATAATTAAAAAAAAAAAACAGGGGTGCCTGATGGCTCAGTTAAGAGTACGACCCTTGATTTCAGCTCAGGTCATGATCTCAGGTTTGACATCGAGCCCCATGTTGGGCTTCACACTGGGGGTGGAGGCTGCTTAAGATTCTCTCTCTCTCTGCCCCACCCCCTTTCCCTCTCTAAAAAAAATAAAAATGAAGAAGCCTGAGTTCTTTGGGGCACCTGGGTGTCTCAGTCAGAAGAGTGTAAAACTCTTGATCAGTGAATCATGAGTTCTAGCCCCACATTGGGGGTAGAGATTACTCAAATAAATATTTTTTTAAAAAAGAATCTGGCTTAGAATCTGACTGAATGTATGTGGATACGAAAGATGAGAAAATTTCCCATGTGATAGCTCTGTTATTTTACCAGGAGTTTCTTTTTGAGGTTTTTTCAAATTAGATCTGGATAGAGTTAGCAGTTGGTGTTCCTCAGTGAGGAAGAGCGAAGTCCTCTTTAGTAGCTCACGTATCTTCATCGTAAAACTTGAGTGGATTGAATATGCAAAAGGCCGTTAGCAGCCATAAAACTTCATGGTCAAAAGACCATTCTCTGTGACACCTGAAAGCTCTAAATATTCATATAGTTTAAATGGGAACTTCACTTTCGACATTTCTCTGACCAAAAAATTTGCAAGACTGAATGACACCATCTATAACTCTTCTACCATACCTCTTAGTTGATCAGTCAGTTCTTTTCCATTAAATTTAAGCATGAATATCTTGAGTTTGATTTTTTTTTTTGCCACATGACATTGATAAACTACTGCAATAGCATAAAGAGAGAGCACAGACAACTGGTTTAGTGTTTAATCAGTTGTTGCTTTTTTTTTTAATTCCCATATATTCTTCACTGTATTTCAAGGAAAGAGAGAGACGATCCCCTCCATTTAATCTACAAATTCACCCATTCTCTGATGGTGTGAGTGCTCTACAGATCTACTGTATGAAAGAAGGTGTCAAGGTAGGCAGATACTCAATTTTTTATGTTTGTAAAAAGTAGAGAAACTGGGAATTGGAAAAGGGGAGTTTATTCATCACTTTTGTTTTTCAGTCACTGGATGTTATTTTGATACCAACTATGTAGCAACTGAAAAGTCACATCTAGGTGCCAGACTGGTTCAGTTAGTAAAGCGTGCCACTCTTGATCTCAGGGTCGTGAGTTTGAGCCCCGTGTTGGGCGTTGGAGCCTACTTAACATAATTTTTTTTAATTATTTAAAAAAAGATGTGTGACAGATGTATGAATGGTAACAGCAAAGAAAACAGGAAATCATGATTATTTAGAACAGAGTAGGGTAAAGAAGATACAGATTCAAAATATTAAGATAATTACCCTTAATTATCTAGGGGAAATATTAAATAATAAAATATCAGTACTTTGAGAAGCACATTTCAAGTATAGCAGATAAAAAAATATTTGTCGAGTCCCTTTGTTACGCTGTCTTAAGTGCTGTGGGATTCATAATCTTGGAATTTTGGTGGTGGAAGAGACCTTAAAATCATCTAGCCCACCATCTCTTTTGATTACGTTTAATTTAGGGAAGATTTCTCTTTTGGAAGGACTTATGATTTCTAACGTGTTGTTCATTTAGATAAAATGTAGTTCTGTCTTTAGGGATATTGGGATCCATTTTAAACATTAAGGTTGAATGGAGGTGGCCCCATCTCCTGGAAAATATATTGTCCTTCAACGTAATGCAATCACATGGTGGGTCTCTATCCCGCAGGGAAAGCTGGGAAGCCTCCCGCTGTTCCTGGTCTCTCCTTGACCTTGTGCATGGCCCTCCCTGCTCCCACTCTGAGCTGCCAGATAATACCTGCTTTCGTTGCCTTCTCTCTACCTGTGAAACTGAGCTAGATCTCCCCCTTCCTGGTGGTAGGGGTCTGGTTGTAAGAGGAGAGAGGTGTACTAATGAAGTAAAAAGTGGGAGGAAAATTGGGTAGTAAAGTTGCGCTTCCTTGTTTTCCATCCTAAACCTCTTTCAGGGTGTTTAAACTTCTGTCCTTCCTGGGCTACCCAAAATTTGTAAACCAGAGCAGTTTGTTGGGTTTTTTTATTCAGCTCTAATTAAATGAAAAGGGCATCTACTTTGTCTTTTCCTTAGATACTTTTCTTAGATAAATCACAAACAACCTATTCTGGTGGATGAAATTTATATGTAGGGGAACTTTTTCAAATGGAGTTCAGCTGCTTCAAACTGACTCAAGAAATATAGTTAAATGAGCTATTTTCCACAGCATGAAATTAATGCTAAAAAATGGAAGGTACTCTAGTTTTCTATGTGGCAGTCAAAATCTCAGGCAGGTCAGAATTCCATTAATTAGAATGAAATTAGTTGATTATATTTATTACTTGTTACTTTTCTTTATACCTACAATATCATAATTCAAAAAAATTGGCAATTAATAAGAAAAAACTTTAATGAAAGAATTCCAAGCCCTTACTATATCCTAGACTCTTTCATATATCCTCAAGATCAGCCTATGAAGGAGGTATTTTGCAACTGGTGAAATTGAGAATGAACTGTTAAGTAGTTTGCCCAGGTTCACACAACTTGGAAGAAGCAGGGTGAAAACATTAAACCACGTGTGCCTGATTGAAAACAACCCAAGGAAGTATGGGTCTTAAAATGTTTTCTCAAAGTTACGGGTCAAGCCGTGATAGAATAGTAAGCCACCTTTGTGTCTTTGATTTGAATGTGTCTCCTTGATGTTGCAGGATGTGAACATCCCTGATCTCATAAAGCAGCTTGATATCCTGGGTGATAATGGGGTAAGTAATGAATTGATTAAGGGCAGTAAATATATGAATTTGCCCAAAGAGGGGCAAGAAATACTTGCTAGGGCATCATGTGTAAAATAATAGCAAGTGAGAACCCACGTTCACTTAAGGATGTAGCTCCTTGAAGAGAATCAATCATTTATCAAACAAGTTGGTTGAAGGGTTGTAAGGATCTCTAGAAGGCAGTAGCAGAAATGGGAACTTGTGAAGTGCTTTTCATGGGCTGGTTTCACGTTTGAATGCCGACCACATCTGCAGTGATTAAAGCTAATTACTTTCTCTCTGTTGCCTGGAGCCATCTAGTGTGAAATTAATCAGTCATGCAGTTGCAACTGCTGCTAAATAGTAGGGTTGGTGGCAGCCCCATAAAAATGGACCAGGAAACTATAATCTCTTTTCTTTCTAAAAACACCTTCCAGGCAGGGTCAAGGCATATTAATTCAGTGGGAGGAACATTCATTGAGATACTATGTGAATGATGCATATAAGTTGGAGGAGTCACCCATTTTTGGCCTTGAAAACTCATCAAAGGAGAGAAGAGAATCAATTAAATCACATCAAACCACTATGAAAAGATTACTTGTTATTTCATTTTGGTTTCTGCTTTTCTCATAACCTGACTATTAGCTAAGTATGCTCACAGTGAAACACAAAAGCAAGTCAGTATTAGAGATAAAAGAAAAAAAAATCACATTTAATGTCCTTTTACATGTTTTGAATGGACTTTTTGTTAAGAATTGTAGAATAGAACATCTGAACTAAGTAGAATAGAACATCTGTTATGTTACATACATGTATCTGCGGTAGTATCTATGGTAGGCAGTTAGGCAGATAGTGCAAATATCGTAACTGTCTTCAGCTTTTCTTTCTCTCTCTCTCTCTCTCTCCCTCCCTCTCTTTTGGCAGAACTTAAGAAATGAAGAACAAGTGGCCATAATTCAGGCCAGCACTGTGCTGTCCCTGGCAGAAAAGGTAATATATCAAACTAACATTCAAACCATCTCAATGTCTGACTTCACACCTAAAGAGCCAGGTAGGGTTGAAGGACATTCTCTTTGCACATGACTCTGTGTTACTGAATACCTAATAAGTATCTTTTTTTTTCAGGGTGATAGAACCCCCTATAGAATGAGAACACACAAAAGAAAAGTCTACACACTGATCTGGGGTGGGTGGATAATTTCTTGCTTTGTAGTCTCAAAAAATGGAACACTTTCTGGATTACATTATCCAAACAATCCCTCCCAGCTGTAAAGAAGGGTTTTGTTGAGAGGTGGTAAAATGGCACCTGGCTCTTTTTATGCGCTCTTCCCTGGCTGCGTACACACCAGTTGTCCCCAACTGATTCTGTAATTCAGTGGTGGCTCACTGCAGTCACATTCAGAAAGCCCAACCTGGGGACTGGCAGAAGAGCAACAGAGTGTGTTCTGGCCCCCTTGTGTCAAAAACTGGTAAATGGTAGGGAGAGAGACAAAGGAAAGAGCCAAGTGGAGAAGCTTGATGACTGGCTATGTTCAGGGTGTCACGAGAATCAGCACTTACTTGAGAGGCTTGTGTACATGGTTGGATAAAATGACAACTGTATAAATTCCTTGAGATGCTTTCTTAATTCCTAAATGCATAAAGAGTTTGTTATAAATTAAATGAAAACATAAACAAGCGAGTGATCTGCTTTCTCCAGTCTGAAGTAAGGGAATCCTCCAGGTCAAATGATTTATTGAGTTACTCAAACAATACCATGACATAAAGGGAAAACAATGTAGGGAGAGGCAAGGACTGCTATAAAATAAAAAGTTACTTAAGAAATATTAAAATGATCCTTTTTTGGATCGGATTCAAGGACACCAAGTGTGGAAGAAAGGATACTTTGCTGACAGCTGGGGAGATTTAAATATGGATCAGGAATGATATAACAAAAGGAGTTCATGTTCATTTTGCAAGGTATAAAAATGGTCTTTGAATTAAGGATTTTTTTTAAAAGGCCTTTTCTGTTAGGGATATATACTGAGGTATTTACATGTGAAATGATATCTGGGATTTACTTTGTAAAAAACTTACTTACTTTATGCTGTAATTACAGACGTATCACTCTCCCTCTCCACAACAAATTAATAGCACCACATTATCTCTAACATAAGGTCCATAATCCAGAACTTGCCATGAGGGCCCCGAGGATCTGGCCCTTACCTGCTTCTCCAGGATCCCACTTGTTTCTTTGGTCCATAGCAAAGGTCCAGCCATACACAAATCCTTCTGGGGCCCCTATCTTCTGTCTCTGTCTCTCTCTCTCTCTCTCCATCTCTATCACTCTTTCCATCCCTTGGTCCTTTACACTGTTCTCTTTGCTTAGAAGATATTCCCTTTTTCCTTTTCTACCTTGGTCTGGCTAAATCTGAACCATAAGACATGCCTCTGTGTGGGGAAGCCTTCTTATTCACCCAAGCCCAGTTAGGTGGTTTTTTCTCTGTGTTTCCACAGTGACTTATGCATCTGCTACTATGGCTTTTTTTTTTTTTAAAATTTTTTTTTTATTTATTTGTGAGAGAGAGAATGAGAGACAGAGAGCATGAGAGGGAGGAGGGTCAGAGGGAGAAGCAGACTCCCTGCTGAGCAGGGAGCCCGACACAGGACTCGAACCCAGGACTCCAGGATCATGACCTGAGCCGAAGGCAGTCGCTTAACCAACTGAGCCACCCCAGGCACCCTGCTACTATGGCTTTTAACAACTATAACGTGGCTGCTCATTTTTTGCTGTTGTTATATGCCCCCCAACCACCTACCGCTAGACTTTAAGCTCCATGAGGGCAAATATGGTATCTGTTTACTCCACTTTGTTTGCCTAGCTTTTCACAATAGCCCAGCACATCTAACAGGTAGTCAACAAATGTTTACTGAAGGAGTGAACAAGAGACCGTGAATGTCCACAGAACAGTGTTCTAGTGACATCCAGTTGGATGAAGAAAACACAGTCTGTATTCCCAGGTCTGCTACAGTCATTTGGCAGCAAAAGCCAGAGTGTCTCATTCAGTTGGACTCATAAAGGCTACAATTCTTTATTGCAAGAAAAGTCACCTTAGTTTAGGAATACCAAGAAAACTTGCCTTTCTATAAAAGGCAAGGATTCGGGACATGAAGGAAAGGATAGGGAAATGGCAAAGAAAATAGGAATAGGAAAAAAGAAAAGGAAAAATAGGTTTGTGTACTTTGCATTTACTTAGATTGTTGGAAGAAAATCTTACATTCCCTGCCCTGTGTGGCGTGTGGTGCAGCTTGAACTTGACCATAATTAACACTTGCATAGTGCTTCTTTTGCACTTGGCTCTTTCTAATTGCCAAAGTCTTGGTATGACTGTTCTATGTGAGGAATTTCATATATGAGGAATCCGAAGCATAGAGAAGGTAGATAACTGCCCCAGTCACACAGGTAGAAAATGATGGAATCAGGATTCATACTCAAGCAGTCTGTTTTCAGAGTCCATGATCTTCTTAACCACTGTACCCAAATTCCCCTTAAGCATCCTATTGAAAGCAAGAGGTGCCATATGTGGAGCCCATAGGACCTGCTCTTTTAGAGCTTTGGTGAATTAGTTCGTGCCTCCACTTACCTCCAGTTGAACATGTACAGAGTGATGACAGTGTGCTTAGCACTGAAGATCTAAGTGAAAGAACCAGATGCATAAGACACAGGCCTGTCCTCAAAGTGCTCATAGTCTGGGCAATTACCTTTTGTGCAGATCTTTACAATTCACAAGTTTTAAAGTCACCTCCTACCTTTGGGATTCACAGATGAACATTTCTATCTCCCAGGAATTCTAAGTGTCAACCTTGAAGCTTCTGATACTGCAACTTTGAATAGCATTCTGCTGTCTAGGAATATAACCTATAACCAGAGATTGAACCTAGACAAATTTCCAACAAGTAAATCCTCTTGTGACTTTGTATTAAAAATAGCAAGAGCAGGGGCACCTGGGTGGCTCAATTGGTTGAGCGTCGACGCTTGATTTCGGCTCAGGTTATGATCTCAGGGTCGTGGGATCAAGCCCCACATCACGCTCCACACTCAGCAGGGAGTTGACTTGAAATTCTCTCTCTCCCTCTCCTTCTGTCCCTCCCCCTGCCTGTGTGTGCCGCATGCTCTCTCTGTCTGTCTTTAAAAAATATATAAGAGCTGTGACCTTAAGTGAGAACATGAGAACATGTTATGGGCCAGGTACTGCACAAATCTCCTTGTTGTTGACAACTGTCCTATATTCATCCACTCTCTGCATTCTACACATGAGGAAACTGAGATGTGGGCTTCAGTAACTTGTCCTGCTTCACAAGTTATAAGGGCTTCGAGTCAACACACAAATCTATATCTGGAGCCCATGACTGAACTGCTTCAACTTACTGTACTCTTAAAAACACTGTTTACAAGAGAATTTGTTTCTCAATGATAAATGGGCAGCAAGTGAAAGGAAGCATTTTAATAAAGCATGATGGTATACATTTGCATTATGAGGCTATTTACCCATGACTTTTGACGGAAATTTGCTTCAAGGGGAAACCACGGGTGTGTACAGGAACTGAGGGAGTAGCCCCTCCAGTCTCCCCGGGGAATTTCTTCTTTCCCCTAAGAGGCTATTGGACATGGTGTCGCCTTGTGAATGTCAAGGCCTTTGCATATAGAAAAAATGCTCAGTGCATCACATAATTTATCACAAACTAAAAAAGAAATGTCTAGTAGTGAAGCAAACTTCTAACAGTGTAGAAGTACAAAAATAAATGTTAACCAAAAACTAGAATTTATTGGGTACCCAGTACATGCAATCCACTGTGAATAGTGCCTAACATTAATTGCATCCTTTAATCTTCAAATTATTAACCCTATTTCATAGAAAAGAAGGTCGAGGCTTAGATGCGATAATCAAGGCCACACAGCCATGAAAAGCTAGAATTGGGATTAGACCCAAGGTAATATGCCTTTAGATTATTACCCAAGGTAATATGCCCCCACGATTATTATGCTCAGCTGCCTCCCTAAGGGATAAGCTTATGTTTAACTTGGGAGAGACCCATTATAATAATTTGTTCTATTAAACCAAATATGTGGCAAGCTCGTGCCATATTATTCAAAATCTAATTTTACTCAGGATGCTGATCAATGCTAACATCAGTGCCATGTAACAGGATGATATATTCTAAGTGTTAGGAAAGGTAGGTTTTTTTAATGTGATTAAAATGTCTCCACTCAACAAAAATGATTCTTCAACACTTAGCTGTAGGCAGTTTCAAACACTGAAAAACTGCCATTTCTCCAGTCTCACCTGGCCTTCTTTCTTTTGTCATGTTTCCCCCAACTGTGGAGAACTGGATGTCTCTTCTGCTTGGAATCTTCCCGTCATTTTTGCCTAATCATCTCTGACTCAAATTCATCAGACTCAGTTGCAGTTGTCACTTCCAAGAAAGCCTCCTCTGGTGTTCTCTAATGAGGGCAAAAAAACATGTGGGTCTTACTCACCATCAAAGCCCTAGTATCTAGTGCAGTGCCTGACACATGGTAGACGTCAAGGAATGCATTTGCTGAATGAATGAATGAATGAATGAATGAAAAATGATATTTCCTGAACTAAGAGATAAAATGCACCAAGTTTTCACTTCAGTACTCATCTGCTTCCTGAGATATAAGAGGAAGAGACAAAACAACTCAGTAGACTGCACGGTATACACCATGTCAAGCAATCATGTAGACTGTTTTGTCTTGTTTACTCCTTAGTGGATCCAGCAAATTGAAGGAGCTGAGGCTGCCCTACACCAGAAAATGATGGAATTGGAAAGTGACATGGTGAGTACAAAGAAGAGGTATCAGAAAAATGAAGAAAACTTGACAAGGCAAATGGAAAACAACCATTTTCTACCAGTTTTATCTGGCACAGATGGAAGTTTGCAGCTTCCCATTATTTTGTGTACAGACTATGGAACAAAATTCCTGGAAGTATCCCATAAGTTCAAGTTATATTCTTCAAAAATATGTTGTGTTTTTTATAATATTTCTAAAACTAATGCTGAAGAGAATTCAATTAGGTGTTTTTTCCTTAGGCTAAACAATTTTTCCACCATATATGGTCATAGTAAAAAGTACAGAAATGATGAATGTAACTCTGATTTTAAAAATCTCCAAACCACTTCATGCTCATTAGGATGGCCACTATCAAAAAAACAGAAGTTAGATGTTGGTGGGGATGTGGAGAAATTAGAACCTGTGCACTGCTGGTAGGAATGTGAAATGGTGTGTGGCTGCTAAGGAAAATACTATGGTGGTTGCTGAAAAAATTCAAAATAGAATTACCATCCAATCCAGGAATACCACGTTTGGGTATATACCCAAAATAACTGAAGGTAGGGTCTCAAAAAGATATTTGTACACCCACGTTCAAAGCAGCATTATTCACAATAGCTTAAATGTGGAAGCAACCCAAATGTCTATCAGTGGATGAATGGATAGCAGAATGTGGTCTATACATACAATGAATATTATCCAAGCTTTTAAAAGGAAGGAAATTATAACATATGATATAACATGGGCATAATGCTAAGTGAAATAAGCCAGTCACAAAAAGACAAATACTGGATGATTCCACTTACGTAAGTATCCAGAGTAGTCAAACTCCTAGAAAGTAGGGACGACGGCTGTCAGGGGCTAAAAGGAAGAGAAATTGGGGTGTTGTTGTTTAAGGGGATTAGTTTCAGCTTTGTGAAATGAAAAGCATTTTGGAGATTAGCTGCTTAACCATGTAAATATCCTTAACACTACCAAACTGTACACTTAAAAACGGTTAAGAGCGTAAAATTTATGTTGTGTGTGTTTTACTACAATTAAAAATTTTTTTAAATCCCCAAGCATAGGAATTGTTGATTATAATTTATAGGAATATGTAGAATTTTATAACTGTACTGTCACTAGTATTATTACTACTAAAAAACAGGTAGTGATTCCTATCAGGTTAGGGAATCCTATAATAAAAACAACTTGTATTTACATAGTATGTGACAGCTCACACATCATTTGCTTATATTTTACATGGAGTTTCTATTTTGCCAAAAGGTTAGACTCTAAAGTCAAAGCATGTGACAAGAACTGTTTATCTTAAAAAAAAAAAAAAAAAAACCTTGAAAAAGGCAGGGGAACATTAGGTTGAAGTCCCAGCTCATCCAGGTTTTGTGGCAGGAGCAAAGTGCTCTCATTAAGTGACACCCCCATTCTCTAAATCATTATCCATCTTTGTGTCTGCTAGTTGTACACAGATAATTTTGAATAATTGTTTTATTATACCACTGTGCATTCCTAAACATTCTTACAAAAATAGACTCTCCCAATATATTGGCACAGATATACTTACTAGTTACTAAGTTACCTTGTCAAAATAGAATCTGTCCTTAACCATGTACTCTTGGATTGGCATAAAAATCCTTTAAAGCATTCCATGTGGATTGGTCATTATATCTTTTATACTTCTTTCCATTGATTTTCACATTCCCTGTGTGAGGCTATGAAAGTTGAACTATTTCCCTAACAGACAAAATCTATGACCCTACAAATGCTAGTGACTTGTCTTGTGGTGGAATTCGAGAAAACATTAATCAGTACAATGTATATATCACTTCCTAGTAAACTCAATTGACTCTTTCTATTTATCATTATGGCCCCCTTCTTATAGGAACAATTCTGCAAAATAAAAGGCTATCTAGAGGAAGAACTAGACTACAGAAAACAAGCTCTCGACCAAGCATATATGGTAGGTACAGCAGGAAGACACCCAGAGCGTTCACAATTCTCTACTGCAGAGTAAAGCGTCCTGGTTCGTTTGTCGTGCCAAGTGCTTGAATAGACCACGACATGAAGCTCATTTATTCAGTGGTTTCTAGTTCCGGTTTTAGAACATATACATCCCTACCTCTTTCCTGTTATAATAATCTTACAATACTTAATAACTAATTATGCTTCATTTAAAAAATTAAGTGTATGTTATTATAAAATGAAGGACAGATCGGATGGTACTGTGGATTAAAGAGAAATTTTATTAAATCAATCCAATGGTGTGGGAGCCTAATGTAGTGATAGAATGATAGAGCCTTTAAAATGTCTGTTATGTACATTTTTACTTCACGGATTTCTCCCAACAACCCTGTGAGGTATAGGTAATCTGGTTATTCCTATATTACATATGAGAGAATGAAGGCTTGGAGAGTGAAAGAACTTTGCCTGGCAAAGCGAGCGGGTAGGGCTCAGGGCTGGCTCCAAACCCTGTGGCCTTCACTACCGTAATGCGTCCAGCCACAGTAGGGAAGGCTCTTCGGTAAGTGGGCTGTGCCTTTTTCTCTCCCGCAGAGCGTTGTGCTGACTGAGGAGCACGTTTGATTCATTCCCCATATCAAACTCACACTACATGAATTCCTAATATTGGACTGTGGCTTGCCTGTCTTCTTTCCATACGCTGCACCCCCCGCCCCATTAATTCACAGCACTGACTTAAGAGAAAAAGACCAAACTTAAAAGAGGACTATCTCGAGTTGTTAGGAGAGGTGTTTATAATGCTTTCCTGGAAGCAGCCTGAGTCGCTTTGGGAATGAGAGTGAAGCACTTAGCCCCTGATTGTAACAAAGAGGAATTAGTCTTCCCTTCCAAAATGAGTAAGAGATTCGGAGCACCACTTGATGGGGAAAGGAGAAAATGAGAGTTGGTCCCTGGAGAATCAAGGAGGAAGCACTCCCCCCCCTCCCTTCCTACCCTTTTGTCCCTGCCCCCTCCACCTATACATGACAGGGTTCAGCTGTGTGTTCGTGTGAACCATGACTGAGTACTTGTTCAGACAACCACATTTAATGTTAAAAAGAAGAGATCTGCTTAGTCCAGCACAAGAGCTAGGAAAACACCCCTTACCCAGGCATGACCATCCACCTATGTCAGAGTCACAGGGGGTAAGATTGTAGGTTTGGGCTGCTATCTCTGAAGCATGTTAAAAAAAAAAAAATAACTGGGATGTAAGGAGCAGTAGACTCTTCATCTAAAACAAGACCAAAGAGAAGACCAAGGAGGCATTTTATAGCTAAAGCAGCTGTAAATCTCAGAGTATTAAAGAACAATCCAATTCTGAAGACTCTAGGCCATTTTTAGATACTATCTCCCAATTTGTATTTTAAGATGTGGAGACTGTACAGCCATCTTCAAGTTCATAGGTGTGTCCTGTGGAAGAGAGGTGGCCTTTTGTACATGAAATATATCTCCAGTTTCAAGTATTCCAACTTAGGCCACTTTTCAATGCTTATTTCTAAAAGTGCAGCCACCACGATAGATGTCTAAATGTCTGAAGGGCTGTCAAGTGAAAGAGAGACCAAATTTATTCTCAGCTACATTTGGGAACAGAAGGATATATAGTTCTTATAACAAAGTAAGGACTTCCTCAAAATGAAATGGACAGGATCCCAAGAAAAAGAACAAATTCCCCATCACCAGAGAAGTTCACATATTGTTAGCTCGATGACATTTAGGGAATCTTACAAAGGGGATTCTCAAAATGGTAGTTAGGCTGGACAAGCTTTGAAGTTTATCATATTGCTATGATCCTGTAAGATTACAATGGTGCGTGACCCCCGCCCCCATACACACAGGTGTCTCTGTTCACATTCCACACATCAATGCTAAGTTCCAAAGTTAGACTTTTCTAATTCTGTTTACCAGAGGATCCAGGAACTAGAAGCTACTTTGTACAATGCTCTGCAGCAAGAAACTGTTATCAAGTTTGGTGAACTGTTAAGTGAAAAACAGCAAGAGGAGCTGAGGACAGCAGTAGAAAAGTTACGGCGGCAGATGCTGAGGAAGAGCAGAGAGTATGACTGTCAGATTCTTCAGGAGAGAATGGAGCTCTTACAGCAAGCCCATCAGGTGAGGACTGAGTCACTGCATCTGTGTAGGGTTGGTACTAAGCAAATGGGACTTAGTACTAAGTACATGGTACTGAGTATGGGTGTGGAGAAGTTAGGAGCTATAAACTATTTTCAGAGAGTAAAATAACTATTGTTTTCCACCTAGACTCAGAGACAGGAGGACAGTTTTGTAATGATTCAGTCTTAAGAAAATTGGCATTTTGGAAGCATTGCATACTGCTGCCATTTTGGGAACTATTTTGTCACGAAATACCCTTTAAATCTCCTGGAGCCTGATTAGCTCCCTTATGCAGGGAAGCAAGATTCTCCCCAGGACAGAAATAATGCCTCCATCCTGTTACTCACCCCAGTCCATAACCTAGCCTGATCCAATAATCTGAATAGGGTAAAGGAGAACAAGGGCCTTTTTCTTTATTCCCAGAACAAACAGCAACACCAACAAAGCCTGGAAGCTGCCGCTTACTTACTGGCATTTGCTATGTCAGGAACTAAACTTACATCATTGCATTTAATCTTCACAATAGCCCACTGAGGTAAGTATTCTTATGATCCCAATTGAGGAGATAATGATACTGATGACAAGAGTGCTTCAGTTTGCCCAAGATGACCCAGATAGCAAGCTCCAGAGCCAGCATTACCACTCAGGGGGGCATGACTCAAGGCCAGTGCATCTAACCACGGCACTACACTGTCACACACAGCTTGAGTTATCTATGATTGACGGGACTCATCTAGACCAGCAAGGCTCAAGAGACACTCAATTTTTAGCCCAAATTCTTAGTTCCAACTCTTAGTTCATGTCTTAGCTTGACAGGTGAGGACTAGGGCCCTGGTCAAAAAGCAGATTCCAAAAGAATTCCAAAATTGGTAGTGCCAGGCTGTCGTGTTTGGTACTAAGAAGCTGAGTATAGAAGTTGACTGTAGAAGAAGTAAGAATCATGTGGTCTTCAGAGTTCAAGGTGAGTGGAAAAGGAACAGGTTATTTTATGACACCAATAAGAACGGTTTATGGGGAATATGACACCTAGCCTACCCCCTATGTAGCCAGGAGTTCTGTGAATCTTTATAGTCGGACAGATTATCCAAGTCAACAGGGTAACTCTGAAGCTGTTTGTCCTGGAGATGGTGAACACATGCATGTTTGTCTCAGTGGCCCTTCAGATTCCATCATAAAGTTCAGGGTTTTGACCCTGGAAAGGGTTTTTAAATCCTTTAATAATAGACTCCCTGGCATCATTAGTTGGGGAATGAAAGTGTCCTCTGCATAAATTTCTTATGCTACAGTAGCATTTAATTAATTTCAACAACTCAGGAGTTGTACCATGAAACCACAGCAGTGTTTATCTTTAAGATGTACAAATAATTATCTGAATTTATTTAGATTAAAAGCTTGTCATCTCTTTTGAGTCTTTAACCAGCTAAGGTGATTCACTCCTGAAAGACATGGTTTTGTTTGCTTTAAGTTATCAGTCTGAACGGATGGTTATGTTATATTTCTAAGCCTCAGAAATTCCCATTGAAATTCTCTATCTCTCAAACAAATGTTCACTAGAAAATGCCTTTTCTAGTTATTATTTCTTACTCTTTGCCTGCCATTGTAATCAGTAGTTCTGATTTGAGAGAATTATTCCAGAAGGTCTTGGCCAGAATTTGTCATATATCAGTATATGATCCAGGTAAATCGTAGAGCATATCACTAACTATTCATGGGACATTTGTGTTTGAATGTTTCACTTATGAAACAGATCTAAATATTCATTCTTATCCTTACTTCTCCTGTCTTTCCCCGGCTGCCTGCCTTGGTCAGTAGAATTACCATATCCCAAAGCACTCAGGCTGGAAACCCTGGAGGCTTCTTGGTCTTTTATCTCCAGTAGTTAATATAGCACTACAACCATCTAGCATTTCCCCTGAAATGTTTTTGAAGCTGTTGCATTTTTTCCACACTTGTAATCTCAGGCATATACAGGACCTCTCAATACTGCAGCAGGCCCAGCTTCTGCCAAATGTCCTGTGCTGTAACCCGGTTCCATCCTCTATGCGTTTGTTCCATCAGATGTTTAAATGCACCTCCTAGACTTTGAACACCATGCCAGACATAGAGAATTCACATAGACCCTGCCTTTACAAAGCTTAGGACCTACTGATGGAGTCACAGGAGACTAATTCAAAGAAAAATAACTCTAACTGCTATCTTTTGACAAGGGGTATAAAAAATCATAAGCAGTGTGCCTTGGGGACCCAGTTGTGGGGAAGACTTCCAGCTCTCCTCTCCTTAGTTCATCGTGCGAATCACTGCAGATTCTTTCACCTTTTCCGATGGTACGTTCTTCCTCAGAAGCCTCCATGATCCCAATTTCCAGTTGAGTCTGGTCCTATGCAGGTCTCTCCAGTTCCTTCGTTAGCTGGCTTACCCCTTCCCTGGAAAGCTGACCTGAGACCGTCTGCAGAGCATACCTTCCTCTCTACTCATGCAGACCTCTTCCTGGTACCACTTGGGCCATGACTCCCACCTCCAAGCCTTTGTTTGCCTGATCACTCACCCTAAAATGCCCTTCCATGTCTGCTTCATTTATCCAAATGTTCTCATTTTTTCCAGTCCCAGTTTAAGATCTATTTCCCTTAGGATGCTCTCCCTGATAATAATGGACTACAGACTATTGAAAAAAAAAATCTATACTGCGTACCCTGTTACACACTCTTTCACACCCATATTGAGGGCCTGCTTGTGCCAGAGACTAGGAATGTGATGGTGGACAAAGACGTAAAGGTCACTGTTCTCACCTATCCTACAGATGAAAGGGGTCAAAGTGACAACACCAAAAACAATGACCAAGGCAATGTAGAGAGTGTCCATGAGTGCTATGAAGAAAAGTATACAATGTGTGTGTGAATTTGGGAAGAGAGGATTCACCACTTTAGAGTGGCTAGTCAGACCAGGCCTCTCCAAAGATGTCCAAAATCCCAGGGACCAGCCACACAAAGATCTTGGCAAAGTGTCCCCGAAGATAGGGACAACAGAGTCTAAGTCTCTACTGTGGGAACATTTGGAATATTCAAGAAACAAGAGAGAAGGCCATAAAAATGAAGCAGAGAGAGCCAAGAGGAAGTGGACATGAGGTGAAGTTGGAGTGGTAAGACAAGGCTAAATCATGTTGGACCTTGAAGGAGTTGCGCTTATATTCTGAGTGCAGCTTAGCTGCATCTTCCTTATTCTTACCCCTCCTCCTCTCCCCCTTAAACTCAGGGACTGCCCTGGTGATTTCACGTGTTGGGAGTGCACACTGCTGTAAACAGATGTAGTAAATTAGAAACAGGGAGGGCTGGCTGTAAGCTGTCACACCAGTCCTGATGCCAACAACAGTGACTTGGTGGACTTACTAGCAGTTCAAATAAGCCAGGCAGAAAAAGGATCTGATTTGGATCTGACAAGGATCCCCCTTGGATTGGATGGCAAGCAGATGGGAAGGAAAAAGAAATAGAACATGCGGCACACATTAGCTGAAGTAACTCATAATCAACATGTAGAGGCAGCTTCTTTGTACTCAACACTGCCCTCGTTACTAGAGATTGGTGATGAAGTTAAACATGGTTTTGCCATCGTTTACCTTTTCTACTTGAGCTGGCTTTCCCTGTGTTTCAAACTTTGTCTCCCCATCTGATCGGAATGGTTCTTTGAGATCAAGAACTCACTGGTGTCTGGACCCTCCATTACATCCAGCAAAGTCCTGTCCTCTGTAGGAAGTTGCCCAACAAGCACACACTTGATGGCTGAAGAGACCCTGCAGTAATCTTACAGGTCCATGATTTTATTGATATAACACTTGCCTCCACATCCAGTAGACATATCAAGGAATTATGTGCACACTCAAGGTGGAAATGTCTAGCAAATTTATTCTTTTATTGTGTAGCTTTGGCGCCTGGAAATATACACAAGCACACACATCACTCCCATGTACCCACACCATTAGCTTCCAGGCCCATTCTCTTACCCAGAATTCATTGTCCTCTAATTTCAAGGTCAGCCTCGATCGTCTCTCTGACCAAAACTCCTCATCCTCTCCTGCACACACATCTACCCCTTCCCTTAAAAGCAGACTCCTCAGTCTCTTCACTCCCTGCATTTGGTCAGATAATTGTGGTAGGGGGCTGTCCTGTGTATCGTCCTGGGCTCTGCGCAATAGATGCTAGTTGCAACCCCCATCCCAGATGTGATTACTGACCATCACTGTCAGATGTGATTCAAAAATGTCCAATCAGACAGTGATGATGGTTGCACCACCTTGTGAAATTTTAAAATCACTGAATTGTATACTTCAGATTAAATTAACTAACTTGAAAAGATGTTCAGACATTGCCAAATGTCCCCTGAGGGGCAGAGTCATCCTCAGCTGAGAACCACTGTTTCAGAGAAAAGGGAGATAGGATTTTCAAGTTCAAGTATTCTTTGTTCTAGCTTTCCCTTTTTCTCCCCACATTGCATTATAAAAACCTCTCTTTCTGTATTATCACCCCATTTAGCTTCCACTATTTTCTTCTCAACTCCAATTCCCCATTTTCTGATTATTCCCAAAAGAGGTGTTAAAATAACAAGCCTACACTGTATACCCATGTGCCGTGAACCTAAAAGGCCTTTAGATTGCCAGATCGAAACTGGAAGACTATTTTTCACTTGCAAATGATTGTCTATGTAATGTTGGTTTTAAATCTGTGCTATTTAAATTGCTGGAATTTTGTTGTATAGTTGACAGGTAAGTTCAGAGACAGTTCCGGAACTAACATTTTTGTCTTTAGGCTTACTTGTGCTATTTTTGCTATCTTTAGTTTTCCTCTAATTTAATCACTTCCCTCCTTGGAATGTTTGGTGAAGTGTAATCTCTATTTGGTTTTATGAGAACTGGCAAATCCTGTTTTGTTATGAAATTCCACCCCGAAGCAGAGTTGAAATAAGATTGAAAGAAAGGGTAGCAAAAAACAACGGGATTGTTTACATTTGTGTGTGTCACCTTCAGCCATTTTTTACTATGGTAATAAACAACCAAAAATCCCAATCCAAATGGCTACGACAAAGTTGGTTTCTTGCTCACTAGTTCTGGAACATACTGCTGTCTCTACGAGGAAGTGGCATTCCCACTTCTCACGCCTACTCGCATTCCACTGGTCAAACAGGTCTCATGGCCAAGCCCGAGGGCAGTGGGGTGAGACCTACCCATAGCTCACAGGGATAGAGTCTGGGGGGATGGGGGCAATAGACAAGGGCAGCAGATTTTAAAATATATGTATAATTAGCGCAGTGCTTTTGCACCGTAAGTGTGGGTGATTCTTGAAACATCCAAATAATCTCCCGGATATGGAAAAACGTATTTGTGATATTTCCAGCTGCAAGTACTAATGACGTTTTCATGGCAAGTTCTGTGTTTTAGGCTGGTGAACAGTCTTCTTGTTAACTTAATGCCCACTAATTCTTTGGGTTTTTTTTTTTTCTTTCTTCAGAGAATTCGTGACTTAGAAGATAAAACAGACATCCAGAAACGACAGATAAAGGATTTAGAAGAAAAGGTACGTGTTCAATTCAATATGAATTTCAGTCTTTAAGTTTTAGATCAGAAAATAATAGGAGTTTCACTCACTGCGTTTCATTTCTTCTCAGTTACACTGTGTATCGTGCACAGGCAGGTGTAGTGACAGTCAACATGACCTTCACCACCAGGCAGGCACCCGCATTCCAGCAGAGGTTCTGCCTTCAGCAACCTCGCCTGGACATGTTTGCCTTTTGTGTTGCTTTCTGTTCTTTTCTACGTGTGTTTTCTTTCCTCAGTTTCCCCTTTCTTACCTTCGCTTCCTTTCTAAAAGTTTCTTTTGAGTTTTGTGACTCTACTTTGCTCTTTTAAAAATCTTTTTGGTACCTTTTTGAAAAAAAAAAATCATTCTTGTTATTCTTCACAAAAAGCCCTTTTTTCCTTGAGCTGCAATGTCCCTTCAACAGTAAGTCCAGAAACTTTGGTTGACACATGGTAATTATGCCCTCATGTCACTTCCCCCAGTGACAGGAGAGAGTCTTCCAAGTCAAGCAGTACTTTCGGGGGTAAAGCATAGTAGTTCTCAAAGAGGGTGGTGTTTGGGAATGTGCATGGCGGGAGAAGGGAGAGGGCTCACACAGGGGTGCCAAACAAGCTGCAGTGAGGCAAACAGTCTCACACAACAAAGAATTCTCCCACCCGTGATTGCCCGGAGCACCAGTGCTAGGAACACAGCAAGGATGGCAAGAGGCTTTCTCTAGAGTTCCAGTCTGAATTCCTGTGCTGCAAAAGAATATAGCTATTTTCTAGCATCTCCCGTGGGTACTCAAGAAGAAAACAGCAAACCATCTGCCATTTCTGAGACATGGTTAGGATTTTATTCATCCCAGTTGCTTCTTAGTTCTCCCTAAGTGTGAGATCACAGGGAGTCGGTAGGGGCCAGTAGCCGGACCATCAGCTGGGTCTTTCCATATCTATTTGACCTTGGTATGTGACTTAGACTTGTGTCTAAGCCTTACCAATAAAATAGGGATGATAAAACTTGCCCTCACCTCCTCTCATGGGTTCCATGAAGAGCCAATGTAGTCACTTATGTGAAAATGACAAAACTCTGAGAGTGTTCGATTAAAAAGTGTACTTTTTAAAATTTCCAAACAGAAAGTACTCATCCTCTTCAAAATATTAAATTTGAACAGTTCTCATTTCCGGAGTGTGCTATTTAGAGCTATGGGACTGAATGAGGCAAAGGTAAAGTGCCACGGACTGAGTCTGCCTTCCCAGGGTTTGGCAGGAAGACCCACAGGAGGCCAGGATTGTTCCCAGCCTCCCTGCTTGTCAAAGCACATGCCTGATATCTTCCATTTTCCACATTTTTGAATGGCTAACTCTTGGTTCTAGTCATTTTCTGTAGTGACTGAAGGAGGAAGTCAGAATTAAAACCAGAAACTTTAGTTTGGTTCAGCCCCCATTCATCTAAGGAAAAACAAACTGAAAAGGGGGTGGATTCTTTAAATTATCTATTAATGTCACTCCCTTAGGCATTTTCTTAATAAACCTCATGTAAATTTTAGGAGGAGGGAGATTAAGACTATGTTCCTTGTCAGAATTTCCTGAATTTGTCATGTCACAAATCTGAACTTCTTAAACATTTATGATAATAGGGTAATGTACGTAATGGCAAACAAGGATTCTTCAGCTTTCAAAGCAGCATATTCAACATCTAATAGTAAATTAAGCCACTTCAAAACAACCCGGTTGGTTTCTGACTGGAGATTTGAATGAGAGATGAGGTTTGTGACACACCTTCTATTCCCTTGACCTTGATTCTCACACACAAGCCTAGAAAAAATGCTAAAGATCACTTATGTCAGAAATACTCCTCTTTCTTTTCCAAGGGGTACTTGAACACCTACTGAGGGGACCTGAGATAGCCCTTCTTTGTTCCTAACCCGCACACACACAGTGTACGTCATGTGATAACCACAGACAGAACTGCCTCAGCTGTGCAGCTGTACCTCATCCCGAGCACTCCTATGGTCATTGGCTTCATTGACTCCCATGCAGAGTTACTCTGTGAGTCGGGCACGGCAGATACTGGGATCCGCTTTTATGCACATAATAAAACAACAGTCCAGAGAGATTAAACAACTTGCCCAGGACCATATAACCAGTCTGTGCAAATCAAGCCCAGAGGTCAGGGTGTCTGACTCTAGGTGCTACACTTGGCCCACCACACTGCCCGGACAAAGAATCTCATTGCCAATGAGGTGATGGGCGTCTTCCGATGCCCCGAGAGGTAGTGCTGGTAGCTGACCTCCTCAGAGGAGTAGCGGAAGCCTCCCATTCCCTCCATCTTCTCTGGCTACGGGCATCATTTTACCACTCTCCATCTTCAAGGAGTGAGAAAAAAAAGGACAGAGTTTCTGCTTTCCAGACTAATAGAACAGTCACCAATACATGGCTCCTGGCACCATGTTTAGAACTTGACCGTACAAATTTGCTACAGTGAAGCAAGAGTCCTATAAACAATGGCATTACAGGACACATGCAGATAATGTGCTCAACATGAGAATAGCGTAGACAACCCCTACTCAAAGATGTCATGGCCAACAGAATGCTCCCAAAGTGTGATAATAAAGTTAAAGACGGACTCTGTAAGAGTCAAACACCAAGGAAATTGATATTTGGGGAAAAAAAAAAAAAGATCTGACTTGTGACCTTTAATAATTAGTAGGCAGTTGGTTTTATACCATTGCTACATAAGCATGTCTGTCCCCCCAGGTATCTGCGTCTTGTTGAAGGTTCTCAGAGAAGAGAGACAAATCAGTCTCCATTTAACTTGTATGAGTCAAAAAGGAGAGAACTCTCTGAGAAGCATGGAGATTTGAACAGCATCATGCATTCATTTTCCAAAGTGTCCTCTGATGTAAAAGCATGTTTTATACTATAGATCCTCACTCATCCAGGGCAGACCCAGGTTATGCCTGCTACCCTGATGTAATTACTAATAGTGCCCCCATTTCTACTTCAGAAGTATCCCACGGTAGATGATTTATCATCTGTTTACCTTACATATTAATATTCTTCCTGCTCTGCCTTACTCCTAAAACCTCTCACATTAACCAAACAGTGATAGCCTTACGTGATTAAGTGTATGGTCTGATCATATTTTTGTATTTTTGGTAGGCCCTGCCACACATTAAAAAGGAGACAATAATATGGGCTGAAGTAGGACTCGGGAGGGCTAACCTCCAGGCTTTATTATGCCATAAGATTACAGGCAATTAGACTGTTGACTAACTGTTCGGTGCTTATTTTTTTCATTTATAAAGTTACAGGTTTAAATCCATTATCTATTAGACCCCCTCAGAATTCCAAAATGTCTGAGCTGATGTTAGTTGACACCGGTTTTTCATCGCATTACTTTGCCAATAGTTAAGTAAAATATACAGTTTTTTTTAAGCAGAAGGTACTTGGTGTATATGTGACAAGTGGTCAGACTTGAGCAAAGTGGAAAAGCTTGAGGTTTTGTACAACATGAATGACAGTACAGAAATGCAGATTTACATAATCTTCTTCTTTTTCTTCTGCAGTTTCTGTTTCTATTCTTGTTCTTCTCTCTTGCCTTTATTCTATGGCCTTGATGTCAAGGTGCCTCTTAAAGGTAAGATTTCATTTAATTCTCAAAATGTGGTTCTAAGAGGTATGTGATGAGCAGGATGCTGCATACAGTTACTATGCCCATGTTTGTTTGTTTGTTTGTTAAAAAAACAAATCCACTTAGTTTGGTTAGCTTAAATGCCATAAAATGAGGAAAAAGTCGCTTGAAACTAATGTAACATTGTGTGTTGACTGTGCTTCAATTAAAAAAAATTAAAATAAAAAAAGTGAGAAGCAGATCCAAACCACTTGGGTGGTTATTAAAGAAATAAAGGAACCATCAAGTATTGTGGAAATGGAAAATTTTGTTCTAGTTAACGGTATTGCTTTGGGAGGTCATGATGTCTGTGGAGCTCAGTGTTCTCACCAGTCTTTCGTTATGCGGAAGGAGTTGCTTCCCTATCTGCAAAATGAGAAAATCTGAGTATATGTTTAGTATCTCTTCCAGCTTGAAAATTCTGATTCTCTAAGTCTAACAAGCTAAAAATGACTGATTACTCTTAACCCTTTCTCCCCATCTGACTTCAACAGAACTCAGGAAAGCAGGCTATTAAGTGAAATTGGATCTTCTTTTCAAATAAGATCATTTTCAATGTTAATTTAGAAAAATAAGAGTTTTTTTTTTAAGATTTTATTTATTTATTTGACAGAGAGAGAGAGAGGGAACACAAGCAGGGGGAGTGGGAGAAGGAGAAGCAGGCTTCCTGTGGAGCAAGGAGCCCAATGTGGGCCTCGATCCCAGGACCCTGGGATCATGACCTGAGCCGAAGGCAGACGCTTAACGACTGAGCCACCCAGGCGCCCGAAAAATAAGAGTTTTATTATGACTAAATTATCAAGTCCATGTCTCACGAATACATGTATAAATCATCTTGGGCACTGATTCCCAGTGTTATGAAAAATACAGATTCCAAGTCCTTACCTTGGACTTAATGGATCAGGTTATTGGAGGTAGAGGTGAGAAGGAGGGTAGGAGAGGTGGAGAGCAAGGAATACTCTGTGTCTTTAGCAAGCATACCAGGTAATTCTGATGTCTACCCAGGTACAGAAACCACAACTCATATTATCAGTATTTAAAAATGAGGAAGGGCCAGGTGGTCTTCTAAATCCATGTATCATGGTCTGTGACAACTTTGGTTTTCCTATTGTATTACACAAGGATCTTTCCTGGACCTCATGTTCTTCAACATTTTCTATAGCAAGTTGAAAAATAGAGAAGAGACACTTTCTCTCTCCACGGGTATCAACTCTGTTACCTAGTTGTGGAACCAACAAGCAAAAGTGTTTTAGCATAGGGGCGCCTGGGTGGCTCAGTCGTTAAGTGTCTGCCTTCAGCTCAGGTCATGATCCCAGGGTCCTGGGATCGAGCCCCACATCGGGCTCCCTGCTCAGCGGGAAGCCTGCTTCTCCCTCTCCCACCCCCCCTGCTTGCGTTCCGTCTCTTGCTGTGTCTCTCTCTGTCAAATAAATAAATAAAACCTTTTAAAAAAAAAAAGTGTTTTAGCATGACCTGATACAAGGAAGGAGTTAAGCAAATATGCCCAGGAAGTTTATGTCCTCATATAACCAACCCTCTGGCCTTATTCTGTCTTCCAAAAGAGTTTCTGTTCCAACTATGGCCATCCTTTGTCTGGCAATCGGGATGGTAGGCTTGCAGAACCTAAGGAAGAGGACTGAGACTCTTAAATTGAATAAGAATAGGGGCGCTTAGGTGACTCAGTCAGTTAAGAGTCCGACTCTTGATTTTGGCTCAGGTCATGATCTCAGGGTCATGAGATCGAGCCCCACATGGAAGCTGCTTAAGATTCTTTCTCCTCACTCCCTCTGCCCCTCCCCCTTCCTGCTTGCTCGCTCTTTCTCTAAAAAAAAAAAAAAATTTGAATGAGAATATATAAGGCGAAATGGGTAAGATTTTCTAGGAGAGGGTAGAAATGGCTAGAGCGTCAGAAAATGAATAGCCCTCCCCAACCAAGAATAATAAATAAACAGGACAAAGTTTAGTGAGACCCAAGTACTATGTGGTAGTTGAGGGAAGAATAAAAACTCATAAATACTAGTTAGAAAAGGAGTAAGTTTGAACATTCACATCAATATGGCTAACACTTACATGCCAGGGGCTAGTAGTCTAAGCAATAGATATAATAACCCTCACAACACCCCCTGTAAAGTCGGTGCTGCTTTTTTTTTTTAGATTTTATTTATTCATTTAAGAGAGAGAGCACAATGAGCAGGGAGCCCAATGCGGGGCTCGATCCCAAGACCCTGAGATCATGACCTGAGCCGAAGGCAGCCGCTTAACCAACTGAGCCACCCTGGCACCTACCAGATCAAGTCGGTGCTGCTTTTATTCCTTTCTTCACAGCTGGAGACACACCGACACAGGACTTTCCCGAGGCTATAGAGCTACAGTTGGCAGGACTGGCATTTGTATGCAGACAGCCTCGCTCTAGAGGATTTTAGCCACTTATGAACCACCACACTGCCGCACAGAGGAGAGAGGGCGTTTCTTCGCACATTGCGAGCACCGTTTGTGTTCATGTATATCCGCAGTCAGGGGTGTCTTCTGCAATGTGGGTACTACTGCTTGGCTAGTAGGTTTTGAAATTACAGTGTGCTCATCTCTATACCTTTTTCCATTTTTTGTGACTCTCTGAGGGTTGTACAGGATTTAATTTGCTTTTCTTCCAGAGTAGCACATAACTGACACTTAGTAATTGTTGAATGAAAAGTCATGATTATAACTAATAATAATATAGCGAATTAATGTGACGGTGAATCTGGGGAGTTTAAAATATGTATAGGAAAATGGCTGAGTGGTTTAGAGTTACAGCTTTGAAGTTAGATAGTAACTGTTGAGTTTGGATCCTGCCATTTACAGGCTATGTCATGGTAACTTTAATCCACCTGAGATGAGGTTTCCTATTCTGTAAAATGGTTATATTACCTACAACATGGTACTGAGAGACTAAATGAGATTAAATATATAAAGGGCTTTTATCACATTGCTTGGAACATAGTTCACAATCAGCAAATCTTAGCTGTTATTATTAAAAAATTTAGCTATCACATTTACTGAATCTGTCAGTTTATAAGTTTGAAATTATAACTTGTAGGGGCACCTGGGTGGCTGAGTCAGTTAAGCCTGGTTTTGGCTCAGGTCATGATCTCACGGTTCTGTGATCGAGACCTGCATCAGGCTCTACACTCAGTGGGGAGTATGCTTCTCTGCCTGTGTCTAGCCCTCTGCATCTGCTTTAGGCTCTGGTCATGATCCTGGGTTCCTGAGATCAAGCCCCACGTCAGGCTCCCTGCTCAGCGGGGAGTCTGCTTCTCCCTCCCCCTCCACTCCTCCTCCCTACTCCTCACTCTCTCTCTCTCAAATAAATAAATAAATAAAATCTTTAAAAACAAAACAAAACAAAGAAGTCTTTTAAAAAAAAGAAATTATAACCTCTAGCATTACCAAGTGGTTTACCACCTAAACCAGAACAAGTAATTGCCTTTTTGTCTCCTCTTTTCAGGGAGTAATCTAAATTTAAATAAGACATGACTGGAAATTGACCAATGACACTTTTATGTCCAAAGCAGATGAGGGAGAGATAGGAAGAAGTAAGGGAGAAAAATATTTGGCTCATTGGCAGGTAGTAAAGGCATACTGCCCATAACCATAAGAATATTTTTCCTACTAAGTTAAGGATTTATATTCTGCTCTTAAACCCAAGACTCACTTAAATTATATGTAAAGATACCCTCCTTAAAGTGGAGCCACGTGTGCTTTTTTCTCCTTTAGCAATTATAACTATCTAAGTCATTTTGTCAGTGACCTAGAAGCTACGGAAGGCTCCCAAGAAGGCACCTTCCTGTTTCAGTGGTTGCTAAGTAATGCAGTTCCACAGATTCTATCGGGACTTTTATCTTAAGCAGGGGAACAACACGTAGTTTCAGGAGATACCATCTGCCCATGCATTCTGTAGATTTATTCTAAATAAATAGTGCACCACAAACTCTTCCATGTTAGTTATGCAGGGAAACAAAGGAAAGAAGACAATGAGAGGGGTACAGAAATAGATATCACCTGGTTATTGTTACAGCCGGTTATAAGGACCCATTGAAAATCCTCTTCTTCTGAAGAGGGACATGTTAATGAAGAACACATCGGAACCAGCTCTGTTCATTATGAAGTTTGGAACAGACAGAGAACAGGTGATCATGATTTTTCATCTACATACTGTTGTTCGTTTTTAATGATCCCCGTGTCAACCATGAACCCTTGAACTTGAGAGTTCAGTATTTTCACTTCCTGTCTAGTAACATAAAACATGGTTAAAAGGCACATAATACTGTATTGTTTGTTGTTCTGATAAAAAAAAACTTAAAAAATATATACTGTATTATAAAAACAGCCATAGGGGTGCCTGGGTGGCTCAGTCAGTTAAGTGTCTGCCTTTGGCTGGGGTTGTGATCTCTGGGTCCTGGGATCAAGCCCCACATCAGGCTCTCTGCTCAGTGGGGAGTCTGCTTTTCTTTCTCTCTCACTCTGCTCCTCCACACGGCTCATTCTCTCTCTCTCTCTCAAATAAATAAATAAAATCTTAAAAAAAAAACCAGCTACAGTTGATTAGTTACAAAATCTCCATTAAAATATGCAAATGTTTATTTCTTATTACATTTATATTTTTTCAATCCCTCCTGCCAGGGCCTGTGGGTGGCCTGTGGAAAACAAACGGCAATATGACTCTACTATATTTATTGTTTAAAATGAAGATTTTTGTTCCTTATTCTTTTATATTGGTAAGAGAAATAGATAAGATGAATCATTATATGCCAGTTAATCAGTCTTTCTTTCCTTTTTTTTAAGATTTTATTTATTTATTTGAGAGAGAGAGAGAGAATACAAGCAGGGGAAGGGCAGAGGGAGAGGGAGAAGCAGACTTCTCACTGAGCAGGGAGCCCAGTGGGGGGCTCGATCCCAGGACCCCAGGATCATGACCTGACCCCAAGGCAGATGCTTAACTGACTAAGCCACCCAGGCGCCCCTAATCAGTCTTTTTTTTTTTACCAGTCTTTTTTTTTCTCCAGCTTTTTTTCTTTAAATTTTTTATTGTTATGTTAATCACCATGCATTACATCATTAGTTTTTGATGTAGTGTTCCATGATTCATTGTTTGCGTATAACACCCAGTGCTCCACGCAGAACGTGCCCTCTTTTTTTTTTTTTAAAGATTTTATTTATTTAATTGACAGAGAGAGAGACAGAGAGAGAGGGAACACAAGCAGGGTGGGTGGGAGAGGGAGAAGCAGGCTTCCCGCCAAGCAGGGAGCCCAATGTGGGGCTCGATCCCAGGACCCTGGGATCATGACCTGAGCCGAAGGCAGTCGCTTAACCAACTGAGCCACCCAGGCACCCCGAACGTGCCCTCTTTAATACCCATCACCAGGCTAACCCATCCCCCCACCCCCCTCCCCTCTAGAACCCTCAGTTTGTTTTTCAGAGTCCATCGTCTCTCATGGTTTGTCTCCCCCTCCAATTTACTCCCCTTCATTCTTCCCCTCCCGCTATCATCTTCTTTTTTTTTTTTTCTTAACATGTATTGCATTATTTGTTTCAGAGGTACAGATCTGTGATTCAACAGTCTTGCACAATTCACAGCGCTCACCATAGCACATACCCTCCCCAATGTCTATTAATCAGTCTTTCTTTATGTAGATACATTTATTAGTCTTCATCTAGTCATATTGAGATTGTTTCCCTCTATCTTTGTATCTTCAAGGTCTACAACAGTGCCTTATATATACTAGGTGCTGAATACATTTTACGTTGACAGATGGACTGAAGGGTAGACAAATGAGTAAATGGTTGGGTAAATGACTGAAAAAGCAGATTTGTGACATGTTAGATCAGAGCCCTGGATAGCATGGGACTGTAATACCAAGATGGCTATTTTCATTTGTTCTTTATGTGTCATTGGGGAATAACTTTAAGAATGAGTGAACAAAGGAAAGAATACATGAACAAATACATTCTCCCCCAACTCCTTGGTAGTATTGTCCTACTCACCTGGCTCAGTGCTTCTCCTCTAGACACTCATAATTGACTCTTCACACAGCAGCTGAGTGAGTTTTAGGAAACACCATGCCCCCTGCCTGGGAAAGCATCATCATTAGAGTGAGATCCCATTCCCTTGATTTGGCCAAACAGAGCCCTGTGTGGTCTAACTGCAGACAATCTCTTGGACTTTCTCTTGCTCTAGAAGCTCCTTTGATGAGCCTTAGTCCCTTCTGCCTACCGCAGGGGTTTGCCCACGCAGTCCTTGTGCACACAGTGCTTTTAGCCCTACTTTATCTAGCAAACACCTACGCACTCATCCTTCAGCTCCCAGCTCATGTATGACTCCCACAGGCAAGTCTTCCTTGATTTCACTCCTGGCCAAATTTTACATGCATTTGGGTTGTTTTGGTTGTTGTTTTTGTTAATTAATGCCTGTATTCCTCATTGTGTATGGGTTCACAAGGGCCAGGACCATACATGTTTTCTTTATCCTGTAACCCAAATACCCAGATAGTGCCAAGCTTGTACTTGACAATCCATAAATACTTCTTAATGATAGTTATGATATTACGGTAAAGAAGACATCTGTTTTGTGGTTGAACGATTGCATTTCATATCTATTATTTTATTTAATAGTTAGAGAGATCCTACAAAATAGGTACTATTATACCTCTATAAATATTAATATCAATATAAAAAAACTAGCAAGTAATAGCATCTACTATTTTTCTAGGGATTAAGTGACATTATATAAGTAAAGCAAGCAGTATAGTACCTGGCATGTAGAAAGACTCATTAAAAGCCAAGTTCCTAGGACATACTAAGCATTCTGTCTTGGATCATGCATTTTATGAGATGTGCTGCTATCTACTTTGACCACATTTCCCACACAACCAGCAACTAGTTAATATCCATTTGTCCTACCCATTTCAGTGTAAAATCAGGGACTCAGGGAAGCCTCCTCTGATCCTCTGACTTCAGTTATGTTTCATTCACTATTATCTGTCTTTCCCACTAGGATTCTCATAGGCCGACTACCTAACAGGGTCGGTTTCCTCATCGGTAGGATGGAGGTAATAATAAGAGCTACACTTTATTGAATATTTTACTATATGATAAATTGCATATGAGGGTTGACGAAATGAAAGGTGTCAGGAAGGCCCCTAGGGGTCTGGATGGTACAGTTGGTTGGGTCATGGTACCCTTTACAGAGTTATTTATGATAATTAGGGATTAGGAGGTAGCTACAGTTTGTGAATCAATATGCCTCTAAATATGTGGCCCATAAAGGATCTAAACTAACTTCTGGCAGTTAGAAAACCCTAAAGAATAGTGAACATAAGTACTCTGTCCATTGAACCCAACTCATATTAGCTAAGTGTCATCTATGAACCAGGCAGTGTGGCAGGTACTTGGATACTAGAGTCACAAGTCAGAAGTGACATCACTGTGCTCATTCGCTTTTGGTCTGGTGACATGTAGTAAACTCAGAAATGGTAGCTGCAATCGCTATTTGACAGAGGAGGAAACTAAAGTTCAGTGACATTAAGCAACCCACTCATAGGAATCCCTGAGGTTCTGTCCTATCCCAAGGGCCTTGTCAACCAAAGATGAATGTATATTCTCTACAGTTTTAGTTATAGTGTACTGACCTTTGATTCACTGAACATTGATCATCGATGGTGGCCCATTGGATGGGGCTTCAGTTATGCAGAATGCCCGTTTGAATAAATGTGGCTCTGCCCCAAGTTTCTTTACAGATACTCAAGTGTACAGAAATTTGATATTCTGGGAGACTGCCTATACATCCATTTGTTTTTTTTTTTTTTTAAACCAGTGTTGTTTTACTCAAATGATGGGCTTTATCTCAGTTCTGACAGGCAGAAATGATGCCTATGTGCTTTGAAACAGAATTTAAGATTTATCTCTGAAAATGTATAAATTGAAAGTTTGCAAGCGAAAGACTTCCTGTGTTTACTTATTTATTTTATCCATACAAGCACACATACACTGTATGTATTTATATGTCTATATATACACCCACACCTTAAAGTATCTTTTATATACATTAAGATAAATTCTCTTCCCTACCAGGGAATATGGGAGTATTACAGTTGTAACTAGTTGTTTGGGGCTCTCATCTCAGTGGGATGCTAATATGAACACAATCTGTTTTTCTCAAAACATGGCTTTCATTCAGGTTCTAATTTTCCTCTCTTCTTCTTTAATAAATCTTAAGCTGGTTCCCCAGTTTTTCAGTTCTTGAAAGTCTAGCTCAATTTTTAAATTCAACCTCAGATTCTGTCTAATCTCTTTTCTTCCCTACCCCAGGTGTAGGGCAGGTTCATGATCTGGCTCTAAGAGATCTCTCCCTCTTCGCTCTTCAAAGCTCGGTTCTCTTGGAGGGCAGGGAAGAGGTAGAGGGAAAAGGGTACATGCCTCTCAACTGCATTGACAGTGGTTGTGACTCTCTCCCTGGTGGTTGATGCTGTTTCTCTGGCTGTTACCAGTTCTTGATGTCCTTTCTATGAGAGCTGATGAAAGACCGGCCATTTGGGGGAACATATGTGTGAGTTCTTCAGAAACTGTGCAGGGTGTGCCCACAGCAGTATTCCCTGACTGGCTGAGACCCGAGCTCTTCCACTGCGACTCTGGATCTCAGCATTGGTGCTCCCAGCCAGAGCGTCTTGCTGGGAAGGAAGTTCCTGCCCCTGTCTCTGCCCCGCCATCCCTCTCTAGGTCTCTGCCCCGATAGACAGAGGAAGATCTGCAATAGGTGAGCATTGCTCTGTGTTTGAGCACTAGAATGTGAGTCTCATTTGTGCGGGTACCAACAGTCTCTCCCTCCTACATCCTATACCCACTGTACTTCCCACTGGTCCTCCTCTGGGACCCTATCACTCTTTCATTCATGTCTAATCTAGTCTCTAGGCGCAAAGTGGCTCTGCAAATATGAATTCCAAATATTTCTGACTGGCACTTATGGCAGAAATTCTTTTGAATCTTTCATTTGCCTCTGGTTGGTGGACTGGAAACTTCCCTGGGGTACTAATTGCATTGCCTCCCACCACTTTAGATCTTGATCACTATTTCTGGGGCACCAGTAAAGTCCTGCTACAGAATTAGTATTTTCGTTTTACAGGTGGAGAAATGAAGGCTTAGAGAATTGAAATAACTTGTCCTTGGACATACAGTGAGAAAATGGAAATCCCAGTTTTCTCCATCCATGTCATTCAGGCTCTAAAGGCCATGTGTTTGAGCAGCGCATGATAGCGCGTCCTTTGTGCCATCGCTGGCTTTTTGCGGGAAGAGGGTATTACATCCTTAACTTCTAACCAAGTGAAAACTCAGACACAGAGACTTAAAGAGGAATAGGGCTAGGAGTCCTAACTGGTATAGTCCAGGGAAGTACCTTTTCAAGAACATCTCTGGAGCCAATTAAGAAACCTGTATGGCATAATTCGCAGGGAATCCCCAGGTCAGGACCTCAGGGTGGAGACCACCTGCCACTGGATACAATTGTTGAGGAGGAAGTATGACATAAAAGTAAGTCACTGAAGGGCATAGACAGACCTGCTTTTAAAATAATCTTATATTTATATTTGGGGGTATGATCATTCATTTGAGCTTCTAAGGTATTGTCTTGGAAGGCCCCAGAAGAAAAGGCCACAGTGATAATTGCTAATACGTCAGGCTGCTTATTATGAAATAAGATCTGTTCATCACTTTTTGTGCATATATAACCCTTGAAATAGACCATTCTCTTTTCTCACTTAAAATTAATTACGCTTTGAGACTTCATTTATGTAACTTGGATTAGATCGTAGAGCCCAAAGAGGTGGTAAAGAATAATTTTTTTCTTTAAAAAAAGAATTTTTTCCTGTTTCAGCTAATGACAGAAATGATGATTTAAAATTTTTCCCTCTCTTTTACAGAGTAACCGAAAACACGGATAAGACCCCAGAAAGGCAAACGCTTCTAGACCTTCAAAGATGGCAGAAATGTTTACAACAGTGAGAGGGAGATCAAAACTAAGAACTACCCTGTAGCCAGGACTACAGCTGTGTATTTTAAAGCCATTATTCAAGGTTTCTTACTTGACAGTTCCCACATGACCCTGTTGAAAATCTACAATATATGCTGCATTTAATGAAACATGTATATGTCAAACCAGAAGAAAAGAACTATAGACGTATATTGTGTAAAGAAAAAGTTCAGCAATGGAAACAGTTTCAGCAGATCAAGGAAAGATGTGTCTTGGGCATGGAACCAAAGTTACAAAGAAACATTCTCCCCCTGCTGTGCAGGGGGATCATTTTAATGTAACACCACACCCCATGGAAACAGGAGTCCTGAAATAAACATTTTCAAAAGTCAAAACAAACGAAAAAACAAGGGTGGGTGGGGAATGAAGCACGAGGAATACCCATGAGGAGCTATTTACAATAAAATGTTTCATTTGAAAAGTCTGGTTTCTTACTACAGGGATTTGCTTTTTGTCTTTATTGTTGTTTAAAACTCAGGAACAGAGATGTCTGCGATGTGAATGGGAAGGAAAGCAGCCTCCCGTTTGTTTTCCTGCAAGAGGTGGGGTTTGTGGGATGCATTCCACGGATGACAGAGGAGAAGCGGATCACAGTGACCCCCGATGAAACCGGCAACAAGGCGGAGGACCTAGGCGAATGTAACATAAGAAATAAAAGCAGATGTGATGCTGCCTTGGCCTTCTGTCACATCTGTCTTCCTCCACGAACAGACTGATCTCAGTCCTACTGAAAATTAAGAAGATGATGCTCTAAATCACAAGCTCCCTGACTTGGTTCTGTTTAGAATGCTAACATCTCTAGGGAACGTGGGCCCGAGAGCATCTCTGAATCCGTTTCCAAAATACTGGTTTTCAAATGGCTGCTTAAAATTGCCTGCAAATAAATATGTTATATGATTTGAATAAAAACACAATAGAGGTGAAAAGTAAACTTCTACCAACAGTTGAGTTTGCCACAGAGATGTGAATATTCAACACAATTATGATTTTTTAAAGTATCCTGATATGCCCAGAGCATTCTGACCTCTTGTCGTTTAGACTGATAACATTTTTTTCCCCAGAAGAAAATGTGACATTTTGACAGCAAAAAAATAGCTCTACTTTTTTTATATAGAAGTAACATACATTACCAATAAGGTCGTTTTCTACCAGAGACGAGTAGAAGACTGGTACTTTTCCTAAGTTATGTAATACTGAGTCTTGGATTCAGCTCTGAGAGCCAGGTAATGTTCCTGAAAAGCAAATTTTACACCTCATTTACTGTAGATAACAAAACAGCCTCAATTTTTCAAACTGTCAAGGTTTTATTTACAGGGCTAGATTTCCCATGCATAAAGAATGTGTGTAGGGAGCCAGAAACTCCTACAAAATGCTACGCAAATCCTTCCATACGTGAGTTCCATATCTTATTGTTTGGTTTTTAGCACTGGCATTTTCCAAGCCAGAGCAGGAACTGAAGAATAGGCAAGGAAACCTAGAATGCTGGGGTCTCACGTTTTGTCCTCTTTACTGCTGACCCTTGTGTCTTTGGCCCAGTCACTTAACCTCTCTGTGCCTCAGTCTCCTCATCTGCAAAATGAGGTTAAATGCTTTTTCATAAAGGTTTTTTGTTTGTTTGCTTTTGCAATTCTGGAACAAGAGGTGCTTAAAGTAGCACAAAGTGCTTTGTAAAATGATGACTGCTATATTATTCAACTTTCTTGTATTGTCGAGAAAGAGTCCCCCATGTGATAAAATAGTGCTTCAGTTTGGTTAAATCTCAGCACCGCAGCACTGAAGCTTTTCCATCGAACTACCTGGGATATTGCTAGCAATAAGGGTTGGGAGATCCAGAGCCGGGATCTCTAATAACCTATAGTAAATATATCATCTCATGCTTTTGAACAAGACAGAAGAACGTCATTTCACTGATAAGCATCTCCTAGCTCTCCTTACTGCACATGCATGCCATGATATGAAACAACACTTATATTGTAGGAGAGCCAACTCTGAAATTAAGGTGTGAAGTCTACGCATAGTATCACATAATTAGTCTCATCACCCCTTTCATTTCGGGGAGATGGACAGTAATGGGTCCTACTGGAAATATACAGAATAATTATCCCACTGGATTCTTTATTCAACTGGGTCGTTTCTTTACTCAGAATGAGGAGCACACTCATTGTGCAGGCAATGTCAAAGAAGGCGCCACCGCAGTCTGACCCAACCCTTTCCAATCTCAGAGTACAGGGAAGAGGACCAATTACTCTTCCCTCTTTGACTTTTCTCTTCTGCTCTTTATTGGTCATTCCAGGGTCAATCTGAGCAAATTCATACTCCATCTGTTATAGCAAACCTGCTTTCCTTCTCTTCATCTTGCTTTTTCCACCAAGAAACTTGTATGCTAAATTTTATACCCAAACACTGACTTTGATTTAAATGACTAGAAACATTTGTAAAAACAGTGTGGCTTGATCATGTACCTTATCTGCTATAAATCTGATTGTATCACACACATACAAAATCACATAAGGGCAATACAGGTAGGATGACCATCTAAGCCGCTTTAGATGTGTTTAGGGCGAATGCGAAAAGGAGGGATTCGTACTTTTTGTTCAACCTTCAGGACATGAGCAAAGTTCTCTAGATTTTAGGCTAAAAGGGTATATTTTTACCAAGTCTTACCCTGATCCTCAAAATTAACATACCACTGGATGAGGCTAAATATTTTTGATAAGTACATCTCTATTACTCATTTCAACAATTATAAAAACATCAACAAAATTGTAAAGGTATGTTTCACTCATGGATCCACAGAAATGAATCATTTTTAAATGAATGCTTCCCTTGCATATGATGTTCAGCAATAGCAAAATGTGTCTCATGAGTAATGTAGAGGCTGAATGTGGCCCCACTTCTTACAGAGAGTACTGTGATCTTTAATTTGGTAAAAAATTTTTACCACTCTGATCTTTAATTTCTGCATCTGAACTATCCGGACACATTTGGCCAATGAGTTAGTAGTGGTCAGAACAACATTCTTCAGGGTTCCTTTTCTTAATTTTTTCTTATTGAAGTATTCACCTCTTGGAAAATAAATATAACTGATGATATTAAAGAATAGTTTGACATAAAAATGAAAGCCCCAATTTGGATAGTTATTCAGAACAGGAAAATTTTCATGAGGAAGGAAGAACAAAATCAAAAACTATATTTGGCTATCATACTAGAAAGCCTCTGTTACTAAATTGACTGTCTAACCCTTTTTCTTTAATGCCACCTAAATTTTATTTTAGGAAACACTAGAATGTGCTGAAAATAAGCACATTTTGATGTGCTTTTTTTTTTTTTTTTTTTTTGATGTGCTTTTAACCCATGTCATATAAATGAAGTTATTGCCAGTAGTAAGGTTTTAGGGGTGGAAGAATAAATTTTGCTTTGATTTTTCTTCCACTCACAAGTAACTGTTCACATAGGTGGCCTGGCTCTTCAGTAGGATAGACATGATATAGAGGGCTCATGGGTCATCACTGGAGTAGAAAGGGGACATTTGTTCTCTACTATAATGGAAGAAATAAAGTTTTGCCAAATAATTTTTGCTACAGTATTTTATTTCAACTAAATTTTTGTTTATAATAAATCTTTGATAAACTTATTCCTTTTGCCTATTTATTGTCAACTTTTTCTGTAAACCCATTGCATAATTCACATGTTTAATGTCTTCAGTGTAATTCATAAATTCATTGTTTCAAAATGAAGTGTTTGAAAAACTGCCTAGGTTTTCATGGGAACTGTAAAAATGATATTTATCAGTTTTGTGTTGATGTTTAAATAATTGGATCATGTGTGTTATGTTACATCAAAGTAGATGGACAGCATAGACATTTTCTAAATACTTAATTTCATTTTTTGATCTGTCAGAGTGACACTATATATGTATGTATGTGTATATATATACACATGTACATTTATCTACTATATTGAAAAAGTTCAATATAACTTCTGAGAGATCAGTAATCAAAGCAAATCTTAGATGACTTTATGTCATGAGCTAATACTTCCAGAATGGGCTCAAGCCTCTCCTTATGACTTCTTTCTAAAGGGAGAAAAGTAGGTCACAAGGTCTTAAAGGACAAAGCTTCCATTTCGTTCAACTGCCTTGTCACTTCTATATATTACCTTGAGACTGAATTTCAGGTGTATTGGTGAGAGGATTCATAAATAATAGAAGCTGGAGTTGATCCTCTAATTCCATTTCAGTACTGGGTAAGGAAGATTCACATTTCTTTGCTGCCTTTAATTTGGTTCTTCCTAAATAAACCTCTTTTTGAAAGTCCAAGTCCAATGTTTAATCAAGTTACTAAAGATATACTCCAAGGAGTAATGTGGCAAAAATAGATTATAATTTGCTATATTCAACCTAGTGTATCGTGCTCAGAGGCGGCAGTGACTGATTGGGTAAAGGTCCCTGTTTTTGCATTGAGGTCTTTGCACCCATGCTTTTATTTCCATCCTTGTTATATCAAAGTTCTATAGGATGGAAGTGGTGTAGATAAACAACTTTGAGTCCAATTTTGCCTACAATCAAGACTCTACAAACTTGCTCGAGTGTGGGTAATGCAATTTCCCAAAAACACATCCCCAGCATCCATCAATAACAGCAATCACTTAGATTTGATTGACATCTCACAAAATGTGCCTATTTTCCCCCATTCACTACAGTAACTTCCTACAATGAGACAGATCAAAATCTAAACACTTTTATAAATATGTAATGTACATATAGAAACATATATATTCTGTACATAGGTGATGGTGTGAGCGCTTACTTAATGTGTACTTCCGTCCTAGTACTGAGGACTTAAGGAAGGGGTTTTTCTATGCTGCTAGGTAACTCATATTTTTGGTTAGCATCTGGTGTCTGTGCTCTTCTCCTCCTTCCCTGCCTCTTCTCCCTCCTCCCCTACCTTCTGTTCACTACCACGATTCCCTGTTGTTGACTGAGGCAAAGAACTGCTCATTGGTTTCCAATTACCCAGCCCCATAAACCAGCCTGGTAGTGCTGCCAGTGGTTTTCTAGGAAGAGCAACAGAAAGTCCAGTACAATCTACAGTGTTAATATGACCCAAAAGTACCATAATTTTATCAGCTAGAAATTTCATTCCAATAAGGGTTCATGCATGTTTTAACCATCGAGATCCAACTCTATGGGGACTCAAGAAGAGAGCTTATGTATTTGAATACATAGTTCCCCGAACCCTACTGTGCTCATGTAGCCAGGGGACCAATTTCTCAGAGCTTTCACCAATCAACTGCCTCATTTGGGGTTCTTTATCTCCATCTCATTAGTATGACTCCATCTATTGGTTCAGTGCTTGTTTATTAATGAGAGAAAAATATAGATTGACTGAGTTTCACCAGGATGATCCCCTGAAGTACACTGAACATGTACATGCACTGTATGTATTACCGTAGAGATTGGAATCAATTTATTGTATGTAAAGTTTTATGAATGGTTATTTTATAATTTATGTATTTAATATAGCAATCAATGAGCTCTGGTGTTTTAGTTTATATAAAAATAAAACAAGCTGCATTTTTTAAAACTTTATCTTGCATTGTTCATAGGTTTTTGCTTTTGTTTTGTTTAACTGTCTTCTTACCTACTTTTGACAAACAAGGTAAAGCAAAATCAGAGCTATCAGTATAATGTCAGTGATCAAACTCTACATCAAGGATAGTAAATAGGTTTCTCCTCATCTAGTCACTCTGAATTTTTTATCGTACTTGCCAGGGGCACTGTAGAGAAGAGTCCAAGGCAGAATTTACACATTCGACGAGAGACCGATGATCATTTAGCATGCCTGCGCTGAGTATAATTTGGGAGAGAATCTTGCCAGGTATTTGCCATCCTTATTCTAGATATTACTTCTTTTCCTGTGTCCACCTACCTTTCTTCCCTACCATACAGAGCCACTAGATGTAGCAAGTTAACAAGTATGTATCATGTGAGCATCCTTTATGTACCCGTCCTTACAGCCTGGCATGCATGCGTCTACCCTCAAAGAGCTTACAGATAGGACTGGGGAGGAGCAAGATGGCGGAGGAGTAGGAGACCTGGATTTCGTCTGGTCTCAGGAATTCAGCTGAATAGGGATCAAACCATTCTGAACACCTACGAACTCAACAGGAGATCGAAGAAAAGAATAGCAGCAACTCTGAACAGAAAAGCGACCACTTTCTGGAAGGTAGGATGTGCGGAGAAGCGAATCTGAGGCGATATTCGGGAGGATAGACGGAGGGGGAGGGGGCCTCCGTCGGCCGCTTCTGGCAAGTGCTAGAGCCGCGGAGCACAAAATCGGAACTTTTAGAAGTCGGCTCCGCTGAGGGACGTCCCTCCAGTGGCTAAGCTGGGGGTGGAACCCTCGCGGGACAGTGTGGTCTCAGGACCCTCGGGGTCACAGAAAGACCGGGGGTGTCTGAGTGCTGCAGAGCTCCCAGCTATCGGAGCGGGGAAGCCGGCTGCAGAGACGGAGCCGAGGCGCGGGCTCTCAGCTCGGGGTGGCCATAAACTGTGATCTGCGGCCCAGTCGGGCCACTGCGCCTCCAGCAGGGACCCAACAAGTGGCAGAGCCAGGGAGACCCCCCCTTCCTCCCCCAGGAGGAGCTGCGCGGGAGCGCACCGCAGGGATCTGCTGGGTTTGGAGACTCCACACGGGGTCGAGTGCCAGAGATAGAAACGCTTGGTCACAGGCCGGGTGAGCACGGAGTGCGGCCGGAGACCAGGGAGACGGGAGTGATTGACTGCTTTTCTCTGGGGGAGCACTGAGGAGCGGGGCCCCCGAGTTCTCAGCTCCTCCAGGGTGGAGACTGGCAGGCTGCCATTTTCACTCTCGTCCTCCAAAGCTAAACCGAAAGCTTGCAGGGAACAAAAGCTCCCAAGAGCAAACCGGAGCAAATGACTTAGCCCGGACCTGGCAAGGGCGGGGCAATTCCGCCTCCGGCAAACACATTTGGGAACCACGGCAACAGGCCCCTCCCCCAGAAGATCAGCACGAACAGCCAGCCAAGGCCAAGTTTACCGATCAATGAGAACTGCAGAACTCCAGAGGTAGG